AAGAAGAGCAGGCCGCAGAGGTCTGCGGTCTGCAAGCAGAGGGAACCAGTTGCAAGCGAAAGCGGCAGCAGAGTGAAATGCTGCAAGAGAGAGACATCAATTCAGCAGAAACAAGTGTTTTAAAATGAATTAATTGAGGGACCGCAACAATCCACTTCCAGTACGCGCTTATTAAAAGAAAAAAAAACTTGAAATCTTAACACATGTGGAAGGAGGGAGAGTTTCTTGGGGAGATCCGTTCCTTGCGCTGATCTGCCAGGACTTCCTTCTAGTCAGGGCTTTGGAAACGAAGCTGAGGATGTGGGATGAAGATCCTTGACCCTCCCTGACCTTCCCCAGGCTCGGCTGCCAGCAAGGAATTTCAGGAGCTAACGGGAAGCCTTGGCAGTGGCTTAACCTCAACGAGGGGTTAAGCCAGTTTCATCTTGCAGCATGTAATCTATTAAGGCTCTGGTTAATAGTAGACCTGGATCTTCTGGGCAATCTGCAAGGAGAGTTACTGACCCCTGACACGCCGCTGTCGGGGGAACAACCCGCGTGCGGCAGACGGGGCTGTGGCGCGCGGAGCACAGCCCGAGCACGGCGGCTTCCTGCCAGGGAGCACAAGGAACCTGTTCCCGGGGCGCTCCGGCTCCTCCACGCAGCAGCTTCACGGGAGGCAAATCCCAGAGCTGGCGGGTGAGGAGGCAACGCGGGGATTAATTCGAAGTGTTCTCTTTGTGAAAGCTCATATATTTGTTGGTTTTTCCTTTACATCTAACCGCATGGTGCATCTAAGCAGAAGATTAACGGCTTTAATAAAATGCAACAAGATGTTCCCTTATTCCAGGAATCAAGGAAAACAAAGTGACTAACAGGCACGCGAAGCATCCGACCCGCGGCCACCAGCTTGCTATTAGCCTAGGGTAATGCAGCAGGTGCCATTAAAAAGGCCCATCCTGAGGTGACAGGAGGAGGTGCCAAGTTTGAGAAGGACCTGAATTCAAGTTTTATGTTAAGCAAAGACTTAGCAGCTGAATTTACATCCCCTTCTGCATTTGGGGGTTCCAGTTAAATTCCCTTTCAGGCTACCCACACGCCAGCGCCTGGGAGTCAGAAGGAAACGAAATGAGCCCTTTAGGGAACATCAGTCCTTGTGGCT